AGCAGGTGAAGCCCCGCTGTTTGCACGTCGCAGGCGCGATTTCCTTGTTTTTTTATTTTAAAAACGGCGAGGTGGTGGCACAGTAGTGGTAAGGATACGCGGCTGTAAGGCGAGGCTCCACGTGCAAACACACACACGTACATTCACCCCATTCGGCTTAGATGTGGCCAACTGCTGCTGCCGCAGGCGATACATATGTGTGTGCATCTGAAGCGTTGGAGTGTCGAGCACGACGTTGCTTTGAGGGATGGAGGGGCACACGCCTCTCATAATAGGTGCCGTGTCTTCTCCCGAAAACAAAAATATGTTATTTTAATCCTCTCCTTGTCTCTCTCTATATCTATTTCCTTTTCTGTACTGCTGCCTCCATACACAAACGCACACACACAATCAATTAAGCAACGCGAGGGAACGTAAAGCATTTTAAAAAAAAAAGGAAAACAACAGCATGGGAGAAGGCACACTAGAGGAAGCCCGTCAGCGGCACGATAACGACGTCGTTCAGCCCTGTAAGGCAAACAGTGCCAGGTCGTACGTGGGAAATTCCCTTGCCGAGCGGCAAGCATTGTACTCTGAATCTGTAAAGGATCCTGCTGTGTTCTGGAGCCGGATTGCGGCCGATAACTTTTACTGGGAAAAGTTGTGGCCCGCGGATAAGCCTGTACTGGAGTACAATTACCACAGGAGCAGAGGAAAAGTTTTTGTGAGGTGGTTTGATGGCGCGATAACCAACATGTGCTACAACGCCCTTGATCGCCACCTCCCGCAGCACAAGAGCCGCGTGTGTTACTACTGGGAGGGTAATGCGGAGGGGGAAAGCAGCACTGTGACGTACGGTGAAATGCATGAGGCTGTTCTGCAGCTGGCAGCTGTGCTGCGGCACCAGTACGGCATCCGTAAGGGCCACGTGGTCACTCTGTACCTCCCAATGGTTCCCTTTACGGCGCAGGTCATGCTGGCAGCAGCCCGGCTTGGCGCCGTTGTCTCGGTCGTATTTGCCGGCTTCTCCGCCACGTCGCTTGCCTCGCGTATCATGGACTCCGGCAGTAAGCTTGTCATCGCGGCAGATACGTTTAACCGTGGGGAGAAACCCATTCCGCTGAAGAAGGCCGTGGATGAGGCCATCGCCGAGTGTGAGAGCAGTGGGCTCCAGGTCCAATGTCTCGTGTACGAGCGGCATAGCCGGGAAGGGATTCCAATGAGGGCGGGCCGTGATCGCTGGTACGGTGACGCAGCCGCCGAAGTGACCCCCGCCCAGCTGGAGGACTGCCCCATAGAGTGGATGGGCGCAGAAGATCCACTTTTTATGTTGTACACCTCGGGCAGCGCTGGCAAGCCAAAGGCGCTCCTCCACACTCTCGGGGGTTACATGGTGTACGCAGGAATCACGTTCAAGTACAGCTTTGACTTTCACGAGGACGACGTGTACTTCTGCACCGCGGACATCGGCTGGATCACAGGTCATACGTATGTGGTGTATGGTCCCATGCTAAACGCCGCCACCTCCGTGCTCTTTGAGGGGATTCCAACGTATCCCACACCCTCCCGCTGGTGGGAGCTCGTTGACAAACACGGTGTCACTATTTTCTACACCGCACCGACGGCTATTCGAGCACTCATGCAGTATGACGAGGAATACGTCAAGAAGACGAGCCGCGCGACACTTCGTGTTCTTGGCAGCGTCGGGGAGCCGATTAACGCGGAAGCTTGGAAGTGGTATTATGGGGTGGTTGGCGAGAGCCACGTGGACATCAGCGACACTTGGTGGCAAACAGAGACGGGCGGCCACCTCATTACGTCGCTGCCGGGTTGCACGCCGCTGAAGCCGGGAAGCGTAACGCTGCCGTTCTTCGGCATCGAGCCGGCCTTGCTGGATCCGACGACGCTCGCGGAGATTGACGGTCCTGGGGAGGGGCTCCTTGTGATCAAGCGTCCGTGGCCGGGGCAGGCCCGTACCATCTTTGGGGACAGTGAACGCTACGAGCAGATCTACTTTTCTGTGGACGGGTACTACTTGACAGGGGACGGTGCACGTCGTGATGAGGACAATTACTACTGGATCACCGGCCGCGTGGACGACGTGTTGAACGTTAGTGGTCACCGCATTGGCACCAGCGAGGTGGAGGACGCCGTGAACACACACCCTGCTGTTGTGGAGAGCGCCGTGGTTGGCGTTCCGCACAATGTGAAGGGTGAAGGCATTTACGTCTACGTCACATTTCACCAGCACATCACTATTGATGAGGCGCTTCTCAATGAAGTTAAGGTGACGGTCCGCGAAGTGATTGGGCCATTGGCAACGCCCGATCACGTCCACTCGGCGCAGAGTGGACTCCCGAAGACGCGATCCGGCAAGATTATGCGTCGCATCCTGCGAAAAATTGCCTCCGGTGTCTTTGACGGCCTTGGCGACGTCACGACCCTCTCGGATCCAAGCATTGTGGCGGACCTCATTGAGGGGAGGAAGGGGGTGTCGATATGACGTGGGCAGCGGAGGTACACGCGTGGTGGCGCGAGCTTCTCCCCACGTGGGACACGCAGTGACATCTGTCATTTTTTTTGGTGTTTGCTTAGGGGTGTGTTGGCGCAGGTTTTACCCCGCATACTTTTATATTTAAAGATATTACTTGATTGCATTGCAGGTGTGTTCGTCCTGTTTTCGACTCTGTGCAGAACGTGTTGATTGGGACGGGGAGCAGTGGCTGTGGCGCATTACAAGCCGCACGCCAAATCGTGTTTATATGTTTTTTTTATTATTATTGTTGTTTTGTGTTGTTTTTTTTTGAT